GCAGGGCAGGGAAGGGCAGGGCAGGGAAGGATAGGGCAGGGCAGGGCAGAGAAGGGCAGGGCAGGTGCAGGGAAGGGAAGCGCAGGGCAGGGAAGGGCAGATCAGGTGCAGGGAAGGATAGGGCAGGGCAGGGAAGGGCAGGGAAGGGTAGGGCAGGTGCAGGGAAAGATAGGGCAGGGCAGGGAAGGGCAGGGAAGGGCAGATCAGGTGCAGGGCAGGGCAGGTGCATGGAAGGGTAGGGCAGGTGCAGGGAAGGGAAGGGAAGGACTTGCTGCCTCTTCTGGAGTCACAAACAAGCTGAGCCAGTGAGAATATTCCAGAAGGCTCGATTGATTTAGCGACTGTTTTAGAATTATAAGATGTTTACAGCACAGAAATAGGCCATTCGGCCCCCTGTGTCTATGCTGGGTCTCTGCAGAAGGCTCAGTTAGTCCCACTTATTCTGCTTTACTTGACACTGGGACTAAGTTCTCTGAAAGGCAGCAGACAGATCAAAGCTCAGAGACAGTCACATCTGTTTCAACTCAAGGAAGGAGTGACAGCACACACACACACACACACACACACACACACATACACACAGATACAGACATACACACAAACACACACACACAGGGACACACACACACACACACACAGGGACACACACAGAAACACAGACACACACACACAGACACATACACACACAGATACACACTCTCACACACACCACACACATAGAAACACACACAGACACAGACACACACAGACACAGACACACACAGACAGACAGACACACACACACACCCCCACACAGACAGACACACACACACCCACACACATACACACACACACACACACACAGACAGAGAGAGACACACACCTATCTGGACAAGTGTGAGGTGATGCATTTTGGGAGGTAAATGGCAGGACCCTGGGAACATTGTTATCTTGTGATGCAAGTCCATAGCTCCATGAAAGTGGCACCACAAGTGGATAAGGTTGTAAAGAAGGCATATGGTGTGCTTGTCTTCATTGGCCAAGGCATTGAGTATAAACATTGGCAAGTCATGTTGCAGCTGTGTAAAAGTTTATTTAGGCCACATTTGGAGTAATGTGTGGAGTTCTGATCCCCACATTATAGGAAGGATATGGAGGCTTTGAAGAAGGTGCAGGAGAGATTTGTTAGTGTGTTGCCTGGATTGGAGTGTGTTATAAGGAGAGGTCAGACAAACTTGGATTGTTTTCACTGGAGTGTCAGAGGCTGAGGGTGGGGGGTGGGTGGTGGCGCAACTTAATAGAAGTGTATAAAACTATGAGAGGCATGGATAGGGTGGATAGATGGAATCTTTTTCCCGGGGTGGAAATGTCAAATACCAGGGGCTATAGGTTTAAGGTGAAAGGGGAAACATTTAAAGGAGATGTGAGAAAATAGTTCTTACACAGTGGGTGGTAGGTGCCTAGAACACGGTGCCAGAGGAGGTGGTAGAAGCAAGTATGATAGCTACATTGAAGAGGCATTTAGACAGACACATGAACAGACAGGGAATAGAGGGATACGGACTAAGTGCAGGCAGATGGGATTAGCTTGGAATGGTACCATGATCGGCACAGACATAGTGGGCTGAAGGGCCTGTGCCTGTGCTGTACTGTTGTAAGCTCTATGTTTCATCATCTCAACATCTGCAATGATTCCAGAGCTGCAAACTGATCTCAGTTTGAGATGCAGCTGAGTTTAGAACTAGCAGAATTCTCATTTCCAGGTGTATCTTAGGACAATCTGACCCATTGTCCACCATGTTAGAGCCTCTCCTAAGCTGACAGTGAACTTCTTTATGAGATCATTATGCAACTCTGCATTAATTTTGCAAGTGGCTATTGCCCTCCCTATCTCTGTAACCTCCTCCAGCCCCGACAACCCCCATTTCTCTATAACCTCCTCCAGCCCCTACAACTGCCTTCTCTGTAACTTCCTCCAGCCCCTACAATCCCCTTCTCTGTAACTTCCTCCAGCCTGTACAATCACCCTATCTTTGTAACCTCCTCCAGCCCCTACAACCTCCCTATCTCTGTCACCTCCTCCAGCCCCTACAACCTCCCTGTCTCTGTCACTCCTCCAGGTCCTACAACTCTCAACCACCTCTGCAGCCTCTCTATCCTTACATAGCTCCCCATAGCTGTGCCTCCTCCAGGCTCTACAATGCTCACTTTCTCTGTTATCTCTCCCTGACCTACAACCCTCTCACTTTGTAACTTCCTCCAGCTTCTGCAACCCTCCAAAACAATTGCATTCTTCACAAACTGGCCTGCAGTGACTCACTGATTTTAAGTGCCCCATGTTGGCTCTTCAGCTTACCTCTGGAATTCCCATTTCCACCTCTTCCTCCTCCTTTTATGAAGTTTCTTAAAACCTACGTCTGTGACCCAGGTATTGGCCACTGCCTGTACATCTGCTTATATGGCTCACTGTCAAATTCTGTCTAATAACACTTTTGTGAGGCATTGAATGCTGGTTTAGGTGCCATATAAATGTAAGTTCCCATGGTTGTTGCAATGATCAGTCCAAACCTGTTGCCTGCAAACAAACCAAAATATAATTTATTTCATTCAGTCAAGTTAAATTTAATGTTGATCTTGCTCTGTATGCACCTCCGGTTTCCTCGCACAGTCCAAAGATGTGCAGGTTAGGTGGATTGGCCATGCTAAATTGCCCGTAGTGCTCAGGGATGTGGAGATTTGGTGGGTTATAGGGGGATGGGTCGGTGTGGACTTGTTGGGCCGAAGGGCCTGTTTCCACACTTCAGGGATTCTATGATTCTATGATTCTATGATTCTCTGTAGCAGTAACGTTATATTCATCGCTCTGTTCTATTGCCCTAATGCACTTTGTGTGGAATGATCTGCCTGTACTGCGCACAAAACAAAACTTTTCACTGTACCTAGGTACGTGTGACAATAATAAATCAAATCAAATGAAGGTTTAGATTGCATATATATTTTGCTTGCGAGTGGACAAGATAAATGATAAACTAATGCCGCTTTCAATTTTGTTAACATTTAGAAAACCACTTGTATCTCGAGGGCAAAAAGGATGCCTTACTTTGCGGAAACAACACAGATGCTGGGTGAGTACAATAATTGAATTGTCTTTTGCTGTTTATGCACAAGATAATATCCAGGCCATAGCTGGTCCCAGTGATCTCTTCATGTTTCAACTGTTGTATGACTTCAGAAAAGGGAAGGGCAGGGCAGGGCAGGGAAGGGTAGGGCAGGTGCAGGGCAGGGCAGGGAAGGGTAAGGCAGGTGCAGGGCAGGTCAGGGAAGGGTAGGGCAGGTGCAGGGAAGGGTAGGGTAGGTGCAGGGCAGGGCAGGGAAGGGACGGGGCAGGGCAGGGAAGGATAGGGCAGGGCAGGGAAGGGCAGGGCAGGTCAGGGAAGGGTAGGGCAGGTGCAGGGAAGGATAGGGCAGAGCAGGGTAGGGCAGGGAAGGGCAGATCAGGTGCAGGGCAGGGAAGGGCAGGGCAGGTGCAGGGCAGGGCAGGGCAGGGAAGGGTAGGGCAGGTGCAGGGAAGGCAGGGCAGGTGCAGGGAAGGGAAGGGAAGGTCTTGCTGCCTCTTCTAGTGTATATTTAGATTTCATCTCATAGTTTGGGACTGGAGTCACAAACAAGCTGAGCCAGTGAGAATGTTCCAGAAGGCTCGATTGATTCAGCGACTGTTTTTAGAATTATAGGATGTTTACAGCACAGAAATAGGCCATTCGGCCCCCTGTGTCTATGCAGGGTCTCTGCAGAAGGCTCAGTTAGTCCCACTTATTCTGCTTTACTTGACACTGGGACTAAGTTCTCTGAAAGGCAGCAGACAGATCAAAGCTCAGAGACAGTCACATCTGTTTCAACTCAAGGAAGGAGTGACAGCACACCCACACACACACACACACACCCACACCCACCCACACCCACCCACACACACACACACACACACACACACACAGACGCGCACACACATACACACACAGGGACACACACACATACACACACACACACACACACAGACTCACAACTTCAGAAAACCGTTTCTGAAGAAGTGTCTAGACCTGAAACGTCGACCTTCCTGCTCCTCTGATGCTGCTTGGCCTGCTGTGTTCATCCAGCTCTACACCTTGTTATCTCAGATTCTCCATCATCAGCAGTTCCTACTATATCTGAATGGATAAGCTCGGGTTATTTTCTTTGGAACAAAGAAGGTGGAGGTGGGTTATGTTAGAGGTGTGTAAAATTACCAGGGACATGGACAGGGTGGATAGAAAGCAGCTGTTCCCACTGTCAAATGGTCAATAACAAAGGGGCAAATTTTAAAGTTAAAGCAGGAGGTTTAGAGGGGATTTGAGGGAATACTTTCTCACCCAGAGGGTGGTGGGGAATGTGGAATGCATTGCCTGGGAGAGAACAAACCTTATAACCTTTAAAAAGTCCTTGGAGCACTTGACGTGTCATAACACAAGGCTACGGGCCTAGTGCGGGAGAGTGGGACTAGCAGTAGGTAGTAGTATGTCTTCGGTGGTACAGATTTGATGGGCCGAAGAGATTCTCTGTACTATATGATTCTAAGACTGCCCACCCTTGCAGCTTAACAAAAACTTTGATGATAAGCTTTTAGAAAGGATATCTCTTAGACCTGGGGAGAAAATGACACTGGAGCTCAGTGATAAGGTAGCAGGTGAAAGAGTATTAAATGGGGATGATGCTGCAAATACACCAAAAAAAAACTCACAAAGCTCGAGCAAGGTTAGAGAACAAATAATCCGGGTAGTGGTTCACAGGGAATCTTTGCAAGGAGCTATCGCACTGTGGGTTGACCATTGCAGAAACATTAATAGCACCATCTGGTTTGTTTGATGATGGGAAAAACTAGGAGATAATTATTTCTGACAACTTTTTTGGGTCTGCTCTTGTCTGCCAGCTTTCCATTCTCCCACAAGCCCTGCAGAGCAGGAGGAGACTTCAAAGAAATCTCCTATTACCCTGAAGGTAGAAGATTGACAGAGGGAGGGTACACAGTCAGATGATCATACTTTGGGTTTGTAAGTCTGAATAACCTTTCCCCAGTTCTATTGTGACCTGCCCCATCAGCATAAGAGGCCATTCAACCCGTCTTGGTTGTCTGGTGCTAACTCGTGCAATTTGGCTCAATCCCATTTAGCTTCCCTTTCAAAGAGGAGACATTTTCAGAGTGTTAGATGGTTGGGAACTTGGCATAGCCTATTGTAGATTGGCTGGCCCACTTTCTGACGTGGGCTGGAGATGGGGTTGGGGGGTAGATGGAATAAGACCACCACAGAGTATTGGGTAGGTGTACCTGACAGGCATTCAGCACCTGGGCTGATGGAGGCAGGGCTGGGAATTAGGATTGCACTGGCTGTGCTGTGCTGAAATATGTTTTTTTTGAGTTACTGATAGCTCTGGTGATTCATGTCTGAAGTTCAGCCTAATGTGGGAGAAGGCGGTTTTATCATGCCGCATGCATTGTCAGAAGATTTCAAATTTTGATCTGATGACCTTTGATCAACTTAGCTTCTCTGTCTCCCTTTTTCTTCATTTGAGCTCATATCATGTTGGTGCTCATATTCAAAGACATAGGCCTATTACTGTCGGAACATAGTGAGTGAATGAGGGCCCTATTACAAATAGACTAAGTTAACAATCAACCTGGCAGTTGATCGACTTAGGAAATCCAGCTATTAGTTTGAAAAACATAAAAACAAAGAACAATACAGGCCTTTCGGCCCTCCAAACCTGCGCCGTAACATTTTGCCCTTTCACACTGAAACCGTCTTCACTTACAGGATCCGTATCCCTCTATTCCCTTCTGATTCATGTATTTGTCTAGGTATTTCTTGAATGTTGTTATCGTGTCTGCTCCCACCTCTGGCAGCGCATTCTAGGCACTCACCACCCTTTGTGTGAAAAACTAGCCTCACACATCTCTTTTAAAACTCCCCTCACCCTGCACCTTGAACCTGTGTTGCCTAGTAACTGACCCTTCCATCCTGGGAAAAAGCCGCATACATTCCACTCCATCCATGCCATTCATAAACCTCTATCAGGTCGCCCCTCAACCTCCCGTGTTCCAGTGAAAACAAACACAGTCTTTCCAACCTTTCTTCATAGCTAAAACATCCCCCATACCAGGCAACATCCTGGTAAAGGAGAGACAACAAGGTGCAGAGCTGGATGAACACGACAGGCCAAGCAGCAAAAGAGGAGCAGGAAGGCTGACGTTTCGGGCTGAGAAGTAAACCCTTTCTGTTCCCTCTCCAAAGCATTCTCATTTGACTGGACAAAATTCTTCTTTTTGTTCAGTCCTTTGACCAGGCATTGCTTTGGCAGGCCAGCACTTGTTGCCCATCCCTAATTGCCCCATGGGAAGGTGGTGGTGAGCTGCCTTTGTGTTCTGTCGCAGTCCATGTGACTGATCAATTTCCTGATGTAATTGCCTGCGCGCCTCCAATAAAACCAGTTAGCCAATCAATTTCTCGAGTCTCTGGTTGTGAGCTGGTTCCAGTTCTGCTGATTTCCCTTCCAAACTCATATTCTTAAGCACCTTCCCACTCATTGTTAACAAATCAAGATGTCACTGTCATTGTACAGTGGAAAGGAAACGGCTGGGAATTCTGTATATATTCAAGCACTAAATTCAATTGCCCTTGTCAGCTTTTAATATAAAGGAATAAGGCCCCTTTGTAGGACTGCAGTTGCAGCATAAGCTGACCTTGCGAAAATTTTGTGAAATACGTATTCTTTTACCAGATATCAGTGCTTCAGTTGGGAACCTGTAGCATCCTGATGAGAAATGGAACTGGATAATCCATAAAATACAATGGCTGCAAGAGCAGGTCAGACGTATAGGCTGCATTGGTTCAAGAAGGCAGCTCACCGCTATCTTCTTAAGGGCAACTTGAGATGGACAATAAATGCTGGCCCAGCCGGCAACGCCCTCAACCCACGAGTGAATAAAAGAAGGCCAGGAATCCTGCACCTTCTGACTCTTCCAAGCTCGCCCACCGAGTCAGGAATGTGATGGAATACTCCCCATTTCCCTGAATGAGTGCAGCCCCAACAACACTCAAGAAGCCTGACACCATCCAAGACAAAGCAGCCCCCTTGATTGGCACCACATCCACAAACATCCTGTGAAGAGGATGCTAAGATGCTGCAGGGTGACTTGGACCCTGGCTGAGTGGGCAAATACTTGGAAAATGCAATATAATGTGGATAAATGTGAAGTTATCCACTTCGGTCGCAAAATCAGGAAGGCAGATTATTATCCGAATGGTAGCAGTGTGGGAAAAGGTGAGGTGCAACAAGACCTGGGTGTCATGGTGGAACAGTTGCTGAAGGTTGGTATGCAGGTGCAGCAGGTGGTGAGGAAAGCTAATGGTATGTTGTCCTTCACAGCGAGAGGTTTGGAGTATAGGAGTAAGGCTGTCTTGCTGCAGTTATACAGGGCCTTGGTGAGGCCACACCTTGAGTATTGTGTGCAGTTTTGGTCTCCTAGTCTGAGGAAGGACATTCTTGCTATTGAGGGAGTCTAGTGAAGGTTCACCAGACTGATTCCCAGGATGGCAGGACAGACATATGAGGAAGCACTGGATCTACTGCACTTGTACTCACTGGAGTTTAGAAGAATGAGGGGAATCTCAGAGAAACATGTAAAATCCTGATGGGACTGGATAGGCTAGATATGGGAAGAATATTCCTAGTGTTGAGGAAATCCAGAATTAAGGGTCATAGTCTAAGAATTAGGGGTAAGCCATCCGGAACTGAGATGAGGAAGAATTTCTTCATTCAGAGAGTTGTGAATCTGTGGAATTCTCTCCCACAGGAAGCTGTTGGGCCCGGTTTATTTGGTATATTCAAGAAGAAGCTGGACATGGCCCTTGTGGTAAAGGGATCAAGGAGAGAAAGTGGGAATGGGATACTGAGATTGCATGATCAGCCATGATCATATTGAATGATGGTGCAGCCTCGAAGGGCTGAATGGCCTACTCCTGCACCTATTTTCTATGTTTCTATGTTTCTATCCACTCCCTCAACCACCAACACTCAATAGCAGCAGTGTGTACTA